CCGGGACACGACTGGAACACGAGCAGATGATGGTGGCGATCAGATGTTGAAGGTGATGACGGAGGGTCGATGATGAGCGATCGAGAGAGAAGAGATTTCTTCTCTTATTTTGTGAACGGCGAGCACGAGAGATTGGGAGAGAAGAGAAGGGTTTTGGACTTAGGGTCTGTAGGACTATTCTTTTTTTATGCTAAAGGATTTAATCCCAATACTTAAACATCAAGATTAGGTTTAGCAATTTGCTTGGCCCCAAGATAAAATCTCACGCACACACACGCACAGGATTAGAAAATCCGGGCTCGGACTGGGCCGGTTCTCGGCCCGTTAGACGCTCGCGGGTTCGCGGGCTCGATAAAACCAAAAATATAATCCCGCTTCTTCAATAAATAAAACTTAACGGCTCGGATGATCGCACGACAATTAAAATATTAACAAATAAAATATATACATATATTCATAATACACATTTAATTACACAATAACAATTAATCTTTATTTTATAGGCAATTTAAACAACTAGGCATTAAATAAATTTACCATAATATTTATTATTAATAATAATAAAGATAATAAATAATAACTTCGATTAATCCAAAATAATTCATAAACGAACGGGGTGTTACAATTATTATTATTATTATTATTATTATTATTATTATTATTATTATTATTATTATTATTATTATTATTATTATTATTATTATTATTATTATTATTATCTAGTAGCTTTCTTGGTGATTAAGTTAGGTTTAACTTTTTTGGTGATTAAGTTAGGTTTAGGATTAGGGGCCTTATATAATGGACTCCATCTACTTTATTTTGCTCGTTTGATTTTGAATGAAATAAGATACTGTTGAGTTTTACGAGAGAGTATCTCGTTTACTCGTTTAATCCTTCCCATTCGTACACTTTTCCCTACATCAGTTGGTATCAGCAGTCAGTACGATTCACGATGCCGCTGGGACGATAAGATGCCGCAAACGAACGACGTTATGCAACCTTCAACGATCGGTTTCAACATATCGACTACCGATTTCAACAGTTGGACATGCGTTTCACAGATTGGTTTGCCGATCTTTCGATGGGGATCGAGGATTTGCATTTGACGCTTAAAAACATGATTGTTTTGGATTTGCAGACGAACCGTGACGCCGACAACCGGGGCGTTCGCAGGGGATTTCACGGAGAACGTGGAGGCCGTGGTCCAAGCGGGGGCCCCGCCGGAGATCTCCACAACCACCGTCCGACGACGAAGACGACGAGGATACCATCTCGGAGGTGAATTCCTTCAGCGAGTGGCAACCTCAGCATGTCGAGACTGACCCCTTCGCTGCATACGGTGGCCGTGACATATGGCGATGGGGCCTGGTCTTCGTGAATGACGACGATCAACGTGATGACAGAGGCAGGCGCGAGGAGGCTGCCTTCACCGATGAATATCGTGCCCGACGCGATTGGAGATTTGATTGCGAATATGGTCTATGGGAGGTCCCGTTCCTCGTTGACATCCCCGAATTCGATAGTGAGCAATTTGACGGACCATTGTACGAAGGTCCACCCATTTTCGATGAGGAACCTCCGGGGCCGGAGGATGAAGCTGGATTTGCTACTATCAAAACCATTGAAGCTGTGCAATGGCATATTAATACAGGACAGAAGTATGGTCAGCATTTAGGAGCGCCTAATACAATTACTTTTGTGGAGGACATCATGATGTTTTTTACATCAAGTGATGATAAGTCACTATATTAATGAAAGAAGATGTTGCAAAGTGTTTAGGACTCTCAAGTGTCGTGAGGGAGGCTGTTGGTTTTGGGATGAATATCAAGAGAGTGATGAACTAGTTGGGCGACATTCAACTTTTGTGATCGATAGGGGGAAACGGCGGACGATGATTGCCATGGGTACGACTCCGGTGTCGGCACGTTTGGTGCGGCTTCGAGGGCGAAGCCTTCCGAACCGGAGGAGAATGATGCGGATAGGTTAAAAAATAATAATAATAATAATAATATTATTGTTATTATTATTATTATTATTATTATTATTATTATTATTATTATTATTATTATTATTATTATTATTATTATTATCTAGTAGCTTTCTTGGTGATTAAGTTAGGTTTAACTTTCTTGGTGATTAAGTTAGGTTTAGGATTAGGGTCTTATATAATGGACTCCATCTACTTTATTTTGCTCGGTTGATTTTGAATGAAATAAGATATTGTTGAGTTTTACGAGAGAGTATCTCGTTTACTTGTTTAATCCTTCCCATTCGTACGCTTTCCCTACATCATAAGATCTTTGCAAACACAAGCCACACGTTTCACCATGATTGATGGCACGCTGTACAAATGGGGATTCTCACTGCCCCTTTTTAGATGTCTGGATGAAGAGAATTTAGGTCGAGCACTAAAAGAAGTTCATGACGGTGCTTGCGGCTGCCATTTGGGAGGGCAAGCCTTGGCCCATAAAATCTTGAGGCAAGGATATTACTGGTCGTCCTTTATGAGGGATGTGTCGATTTAGTGAGAAAATGCGAGAAATGTCAAATCTTTGCACCAAATAAAAAATAACCCCCTCAACCTTTGAAGTCCATCTTCAGACCATGGCTAGTCGCAAAATGAGTGATCGATTTGATCGACCAACTACCCACGGGAAAAAGGAGAATCAAGTTCGCAATAATAGCAGTAGATTTCTTTACAAAGTGGGTTGGAGTAGAACCATCAATAACTGAACAAAAAAATGATTAATTTTATATAGAAATCGAGTGCGAGTGTGTCCTACCCCGCGGTTGGTCGGCTTCCTCGTCTCCGATTCATTTTTTTTTTTTTTTTTTTTTCAAGCGATGGCTGGCTCTCAGATAAGTACTATGTCTCCCTCTGTTTCTGTATCATTTTATGCATGTGGTATATCTCCGTTGTGGTTGCCCTTTAATTAAATTATTTGATTGTTGACTTATTTCTCTTATTTGGGGCTTAACTCCGCAATAAAAAAAAGTATGAGCTGAAATTGGGTTGGTATGGGGAACCCCATACTGTGCCGACTGAAATTTCGTTTAATGTTTGCCGTCCATATAGGGTTGTTAACAAATCAAACATTATTCAAATTCAGTAGTCGTGATTCATATTCGTAAAAGTTTGAATTCAAATAATAATAGTGGTTAGTAATCGAAAATTTGTTCGAATCCAAATCCGGATTTGCACATATTCGACTCGAAATTATAAAACTTTGATTTGTTAATAATAATGTTGTATAATTTAATATATTATATATATTATAAATTTTTCTTTATATAATATATATAAGCATATTAAGTATATATATAAAAAACATAAACATTATATTTATATTTAAAAAACATATTTGATTTATTTTAAAAATATTTCTATTTAAAAATATATATTATATTAAAAAATATACTTACAAAGTATATAAATATATTTATAAAAAACTTATGAAAACGATTTTCAAATTGAATATATTTCGAATCGAATACGAATCACAAATTAAATTAAAAAAAATAAATCAAATACAAATATAGATAGTCGAATATTTTCATGAATTTGAATCGAATAGTAGAGTAGTCGCTTCAATTCGATTTGTTTACAACCCTACGTCCATGAAAGTAAAAATATATCACAACACTTGAGTCCATCTAATAAATAAATACGTTGAAAAACATATAAGTACGATAAAATTAATCATATAAAAATATGCTAATAAATATATAATATATACACTTTTTGCTGATCAATCGCAAAAAATTATGAAACGCCATATCAACAAATGGGCTCAAAAAACCAAAATATTTTCACTAAAAACCTTATACCGAAGTTATTATTTAGGCTACAATAAGTGGTCAATACAATTACACAAACATATTTGTTTTACAAATTGACATACTTTCATTAGAAATAGAAATGACATACATTAAAAAACAACATGAACAACAATATGGCATCTAGTAATATAAATATATACTTTTATTTATAAAATGTGACAAGTCGACCCGCCTAAATGTAAGATTTGCGTGAATCTTTTGTAAACATTTACATGTTTTTATTAGAAAAGGTTATAATTTCAAAAATAATATGAAAAAACAATATAAATATAAGTATATTTTTATTATTTTAAGTTGATTTGTCTAATGATTAGACCAACTCAAGTAGGAATTTGTGTTTAGACTAACATCGGGTAAAAATGATTGATAGAAAATGCTGAATTGGCTAATGAATGAATGGGAATCTCATAACGTGGGACCCACCTAAATAATGGCTTTGCCTCCTTGAATACAGTGCTATATCAATACGTATACTCTGTCTGTAAAAACTTCATTTTTATTCATTTTTTTTTTCTTTCTTCCATAAATAAAATTATTCAAAAAACGGGAATATTATTATTAGGGCCATTTTTATTTTTATTATTTTCCTCTCTAGATATATTCCCCCTCGAATTTCATGTTCGAGTGCTCCCAATAGCTCTTCGATTTATCAAAAAGTATCGATTTTGATGCTCTGTCCTCTGCATTTGACACCTAATTCTTCTGCCCTTTGGAGTTTTTTCGAGTTTTATTCCGTTTTTTATTATTATTTTTCTTTTCCGGTTATGAGCTTTTTACGTAAAATTAGGGCATTCTTGATTTTTAGCTAGATTATTGAGTCCTTGTGCTGAATTTTGTCGAAATTTTGTTTTTTGGGTAGTTACTTTGGTAATCCTCGCTGAATTTATTTGTGGGTTTTTTTTTTTTTTTTTTTTTTTTTTTTTTTTTTTTTTTTTTTTTTTTTTTTTTTTTTTTTTTTTTTTTTTTTTTTTTTTTTTTTTTTTTTTTTTTTTTTTTTTTTTTTTTTGGGTAAATGTTTGCTGGGTTTCACAATTGTTGCTTGATTTTTTGTTGATGCTGATGAAATGTTTTACCACAAATGATATAAGGGTTTTTTTGGGGGAAGTGTTTTTTTTGGGGATTTAGAATTTTTGAGGGGTGAATGTATGTATCCTGCTGGTATGGAATTTCCTCGCGAAACAGGGATGGTGTTGGTTCCGACGCGGTTTGTCTGGCGCTATGGTGGTAGAATTGTGCATATCGTGGGTTCGTTTACAGGGTGAGAGTTTTTTTTCTTGAATTTTTCATCACACAATCGTGTTATGTTCAGGTTTTTATTTACCTTTTCATTTTCCTAATTTAATTTTTTTCTTGTGACTCGGTCTTTTTTGTGATTTGAGATGATTATTGTGTTAAGCTACTCGTAAGATTGATGCTTATTTGTTGTTTTGTGTTTGAAGGTGGACACACTGGCCAATGACGCCGGTTGAGGGTTGCTCTACTGTGTTTCAGACGATTTGTAGCTTGCCGCCTGGTTTTCACCAGGTTTGTGGTGTTTTGTTTTTGAAGCTTTCTAGGGTTTACCTTTTCCTCATACGGAAAAAGAATGAGAATTTTCTTATTTGAGGTGATCTGATTTTTGAAAACTTATTTTGACTGGATTGACATTGTTATTATTATTAGATTGCAATTGTTTAGCTGTTGATTTTGTCCGTGGGAGGATTCTATATTTGCTTGTCATATTACATGCAATTGGCGTGTTATGCCACGCTCTTGTGATGAATTTTGCACCATAAATCAAGTGATCACGTGATCATGCAGCTGATCGGTTACGAGATTTTGTCTATTTCTTCCATTATTCTATTTTTGTTTTAGTTGCTCATATTTGGCCCTATGTTTGTGATGTCATTGTGACGTGAGTGATGAATGAGGTGGGAAAAGTACCGAACCTTAACACGTGTAGTTATTTTATTTTTTCATTTACAGAAGTACTCGAAAATAATGAATTCATATTGATTATTTCATGTATGATCTAAATTGTTCTAGATGTGATCTTTAATGTGTTTTGACAGCCATGATATGTGGTATTAGTTTTTCTGACACTTGTCGAGACACCAGATAGATGTCAATAAACTGACCATGACTGCATAAATACGAGACTTTTTAGGTTAATAATTATTCTTAAAGTAAAGGCTTGTATATGCATATGCTGCTAGTGACAAGATAAAAATGCATACATTGCTTTGTGATAAGAAAGCCTAATATTATCAGGTTAGCGTAAATGCTAATAATTTCATGTCATAACAAATCTCTGGCACCTGCCTTGTGCTTTGGCCTTTTAGAATACCGACCAACTTTTGAATAATTTAGCTACTCAGAACGTGTACAGCGTGAGAAATTAGATGTGAACCATCCACATAGATAATAATACAAGGAATGCAGTATGAAATGCATGTGTCCTGTAAAAAATTATATGTTCAGCCTTTGTTTGGTTGGATGTCTTACAATAAGCTACTTTCTTTAATAGCTACAGGGTGGTTGAGAAACAGTGTATTTCTGATTAGTCACACTGTTAAATTGTGTCGTATAGATAAGAGTTGGAATGGAATATTTTCTTTAAACTTATGAATTTGCCTTAAAACATGTGTGTGACTTTCATTGAACACTACCTCGTGGAATTTACTGTCATTTTTAAAAAGCGCTTTTATTTTTTCCCTTTTTCTGCAGTACAAGTTTGTTGTTGATGGTGAATGGAGGCATGATGAGCACCAGCCTTTCATTAGTAGTAGCATTGGAACAGTGAACACTATCCTTTTAACTAGGGAGTCTGATTTTGTGCCTCCTGTGTTGAGCCCACAGGCGCCTCCCTCTGCTCCTGGTTGGAACATGGATGTTGACAATGATGCCTTCCAGCGCAAGGTATAATTTCACTATAGTCATCATTGCTTTCTCCACAGGTGTCTTTTATTTAGTTTTTTCCCACGTGGAAGTTTTGAATTATTTTGATGACTTATGCAGTAAAAAGAGAATAAAAAAAAAAAAAAAAAACAACTTTATGCTCCCTAAGTTGGTTGCGGTTGTATATCTCATGTTCGTTAAAATTTTCCCTGCTCAGTCATTATTCCGGAGCATGTGCCAATGAAAACCCTAGAATTAGTTTTGGCTCATGCCTTTAAATTCATAATTGTGTGTGTTCAAAATGTTAACTTTGGACAAGAAATGATGTGGAAGCATATGAGTTATAAACAAAAATTTAAGGACGTTTCATTTTCCTCTGCTTACGGTTCTTAAGTATTTAGACATTATGTCTTGAACCAATTTGTTTCAGTCACAGCTGCCTTCGAATTTGCTTCGCATATAGTAAAGAATTATTATGCATCTATATTTGTATCTTTTCATGGTATAGTTAAGACTGTTTGTGTTGATAATGGACCTTGTCCACAGGTTCGTGTGTCTGATGGCCCATCTCCTGAGGCCTTTCCGACAATATCAGAAGCAGATTTAGAGATATCCAGGCACCGTGTTGCTGTATTCTTGTCTTCACACATGGCTTATGAGTTGCTACCAGAATCTGGAAAGGTATAGATGGTCCTTCTCATTTCCTATTTTTCTATTTTACGATTAGTTTTCTGGTTGAGCTTTATGTATTTGGTTGATTTTGTGCAGGTTATTGCTTTGGATGTTGAATTGCCTGTAAAACAAGCATTTCATATTCTGCATGAACAGGTATCTTCGCCAATCACTAAATTTTATATCTATTAATCCAATAACTAAGTCTTAAAATCTGAGTTCCCTTGAGCATTTTGTTAGCTGATACTGGCATTATTTTTTATCTTAAGCAAGAATCTTACGAGGATTAATCTTCTGTAAATTGTTTATTAATGCCTGTAGGAACAGGGGCACATATGTAACCTTGCCTTAGCAAGACATTGTATTGGATGTATATGTAGTCTGTTGTTTCTTTCTGTTGCTCTTTGTTCACGTAATTAGTTCTTAGTATGTCTATAGTTATTCTGAACCAACCATTGTTTCTTCAGGGTATCTGTATGGCGCCTTTGTGGAACTTCGCCAAGGGAAAATTTGTTGGAGTTATCAGTGCGCTGGACTTTATTCTGATTATGAAAGAGGTAAATGAAATGACCCTTCTGCCTTTTCTTTTTCCTCAGTGAATAATTTTAAAACCACAACTGCTATTGGGTTCTTTGTCTGATTGATGTTGATTTGACTCAAAACTCATGTTGTTTGATCAAATCAATAGCTTTTAATGTTGACATGGTTCCTGGAAATACTTCATTTGTGTTTTTAAATTTTCAGACTGTTGCAGAAATAATTGCCGCGTTACTTTTAAATTTTAATACATTTGCATGCTTAATCTATATTCGTCACTTGACGCACTTCCGATTCTACTATAGATGTAATTTGATGGTGCCTTCATTTCACTTCATCACAATGTTTATACTTTATAGTAAATTGAAAAATGTTGGGTCATCTTCATCCTAGTCTTTTCAGATTGTAAAATTTGATAATGTTTAACTGTTACAAAATCATCTTTGTTAACTGTTCTCTTGATACTCAATTGCCTGCAATTTAATCTGAATTAATATCGTTGTTAATGGAACTTCTGGGTTTTGCTTCACTTTGTTTCTTATATATATCTTTATGGACGTTCTTTTGGTCAAAGATGATTAATACTCCTGCCTAGCAAATACAAATGATGTGCAAATGCGACGTTTTTATTTCAAGCAAGCTTGTTTCTTGTGGCAGCTTGGCAGTAACGGGTCGAATTTGACCGAGGAGGAACTTGAGACACATACTATATCTGCTTGGAAAGAAGCAAAGTCATATCTGAATAGTCAGATTGGTGGGCAAGGATGTTCCAGACAACTCGTGCAAGTAAGTCTTCATATCCATGTGCTGATTCTGTTGAATGCCAATATCTAAATTCTTCTTCTCGGACCAAACTCTAGTTCATGGATGTGGGTAATGATCACACTAGTTCATTTACATTACGAACATCTCCATATTTGGGAAAAATAAGTAATGCACTGATTGTTTATGCTCTAAGGAGATTGAATCTTTATGTAGAGCTATAATTTAGCTTTATATGAAAATGGTATACAGTTATGAAAGATTTGGTTGTATGATGGGTGTGAATGCCAACGTTTTGGTAAATTCACAAGTATCTTTGATAACGTTTCTTCTAAAAAATAATAACAAAATGACGAAATAAGGAAGGAGGCCAAGTACCCTTTGGTTAAGTGTGAAGCACAATTCTTTCCTTGCACCTTATTTTAGATATATGAGATTCTCATTGAATACAACTTGTTGATATTTTTGCAGGCTGGACCGGATGACAGTCTCAAGGATATTGCTCTGAAGATTCTGCAAAATGGTGTGGCCACTGTTCCCATCCTTCATTCATCTGCACCAGATGCCACAAACCCACATCTCTTGCATATTGCTTCACTTTCTGGGATATTGAAATGTGAGTACAAGAAATTATTCCCCTTTTTTTCTCATGTGTTTGTGTGTTTATATATCAAAGTTCAGAGTAACCTTGAACTTGGTCTAATTCAACACAACCACATATATCCTTCAAAATTACAAGTACCCATTTGTTATTTGTTCCTATTTTTCGAATTGCATCTCCAGTGGAGAGGGGTGAATTCCAAGGTTAAGTTCCATTGTTGACCTTATTAGATTATATGACAACTAAGATGATAGTCGTTAAAACAATAATTGATTATTTGTAGTTGAATATCTGAAATGTCCATCCTAGCTTTTATTTTCTTTTTCATTAAAATGTGAAAACTGTAAGGCTGTGCTTTTTTATAATAAAACTAGAAAACAACTGGTTTTTTTCTTTTTCTTTTTTTTTTTCCTGTGGTTTTTTGTTGTTAACTAGAGTTTATTTGAAAAAGTTAGTATGGTTAGTTGTTAGTGGGATTTTAAGAATGTATTAAAATAATATTTAAACTAAAATGATTAACATTGGTTTGATGTAAAAGGAAGAGATAAATGATTGGAAATGATAAGTAGTTAAAATTATATGAGTGTATGAATAGTGAATTAAAGTTGATGTGATGTGTAAAAATGATTGAATGATATTATTTAATTATATTGACAATATTGAGGATAGTGAGGTTGAGTTAAAGTTGAGTTAGATTTTGAATTGAGATATTTTTTTTTTAGTTTTTTTCTATAAATTTGATAAACAAGCACGGCCTAAGTAGTCATATTGTCCAATAGCGTATAATATATAAAACCCTGGATATGTAATTTTGAAAGATAAATGGGTGGTTGCCCAGAAAACAATTAATCTTGCAGGCAAACTTAATATGAGAAACAGATATAGGTGCTTATATTCATAACTAACATGTTTTGTTGCTTAACAGGTATTTGCCGCTTCTTTAAGCATTCTCCGAGCTCATTACCAATACTGCAGTTTCCAATATTTGCAATCCCAATGGGGACTTGGGTTCCGAAAATTGGGGAGGCAAATCGGCGGCCACTGGCAATGTTGAGACCAAGTTCTTCACTTAGTGCAGCTCTAAATTTATTAATTCAAGGTACCAAACACTTCAAGCTTATTCTCAGGAACCATACTTTTGGCTTATCTAGTTTCTTTCCTAATGCTTAATAAAACCGCATCTTTTCAAACCAAATGTTTTTGTTCTGCTGTGAGTTCCAAGAGGTTCGAAAATGGTATATAAGGAAATTTTACTATTAGATAGTATATTATATCTTAAAAATGGTGCCTGTTCGATAATTGGTGGTTGAAGTGATTTTTGCTGTAGGAGAACTGATTTCATATACTTCCAGTAGTTGGCAACTTATAATTGTCAATTCCACTTCTCTTCATCTGTTTGAAATAGCTTATTTGGTTATTCCTTTGATGTGGTGGACGTGGCCATGATAAAACATTGGGTTCAGAAGGTTTTTTAACACTAGAATTAGTACATTCTGCAAAAAAGTGTTCTGCGAAATGAGATTTATTTCGAATTCTTTATATGTTATACATCATTTTATTGAGTTATTTTTCATAACCAATCCCAAGTCATTTCATTGTGACGTAATTGTGATTTTTACTTTGCAGCGCAAGTCAGTTCCATCCCGATTGTTGATGACAATGACTCTTTATTGGATGTTTATTCTCGGAGGTTATTTTCTTTTCTTCCTTTTTCTTTCTTTCGTTTCTTACATTTTGAAGTTATAGGAATGTGAATCTCTCTTTTTTTTTTCTCCGATTTTCTACATCGTGATACATATATAAATATATTGTCGTTTTTCACCAGTGACATAACTGCTCTGGCGAAAGACAAAATTTATGCACACATTAATCTTGACGAAACAACTATTCATCAGGTAAGAACTCATTTATCATGTTAGTGTGGATTCTATGTATGTGAATTTATTGAATTTGCGTTTTCAACCCACACGCATAGATTTTGTCATTCGTTTTTTTCTTCATTATTCGTTGTTCCTTATTTACTTCCCCATTTTGAAAAATCATAGGCGTTGCAGTACAGGGATGACCCGTTTTCTATGTACGGGTCCAATATCCAAAGATGTTTCATGTGCTTGCGTTCTGACCCTCTCCATAAGGTTCTGGAGAGATTATCCCAGCCAGGTGACATTTTTCTTTCATTTCGTTTTCAAGGCATAGTTCTGAAAAATAATATTCGGGTCAACACATCATCTTAAGTTTTCTTTCATGATCGTGTACAAGTGATCCTCATTGTTCTTATATATATTTTTTTCTTGTTATTTTTTTCAGGGGTGAGAAGGATTATTGTCGTTGAAGCTGGAAGCAAGCATGTAGAGGGAATCATTTCTGTAGGCGACGTTTTCCGGTTTCTCATGGGCAGTTAATCGAATCCGAGGATTGACGTTGGCATCTGATTATAAGTTAATTGGCCGAGGAAAAAAGAAAAATGATGATGTATCTTCTGGGGTGGTTTAAGGGATGGTTTAAGGGATTTTCCTGAACCTGTTGTTGGTCTTCTTTGAAGGTGTCATTGCTTAATTTCTCTCTTTGTAGGAATACATTTTTTGTGAAAAGAACTTCTATAGCATCTGCAGAAAGATTATGGTTTTTTTATTTGCTACTGAAAAAAAAAAAAAAAAAGTGGGGATGGGCATTGAATGATTTATTCATAATCTTATTATTATGTATTATAATTCTTGGCATTGCTTTGGTTCTAAAACAAATCATAATGGTGTTTTCCAGAGGCTAAAGTGTACATATGTGTACTACATTATTTTTAGATTTTCTATTTATATGATTTTTTTAACATATTATTTCTATGTTTTTTT